TCCCAGATGCAGCAGCCTTCACTGTGAACCCCGCAGGGATCCAAAGCAATGGTTTGCGCGCACAAAGGATTTTAACTTGTTATAGGTCCGATTTTCGCTCTTTAATTTTGTGAAGAGGATTTCTAAGGGTAGCCACAACACTATTATGTGTCTTTCCTTTAATCTTCCCAAAAATACAAAAAAGGCAATTGTTTAGAACGAGAGACCTCTAAAATATATTTTTTTTAAATTTGGGGATCTTTCTAATTTAAAGGATTCGTCTTTTGGCTATTGACAATCAGAATTTCCAATGATGTATTTATTCCAGTAGCAACTCAATCCAATAAGCCCCTTCATGGAAAGCCCAAAAGGTTATTTTCCAGGTTTAGAGAGGGCATAGAAGAGGAGGCGCCAATGTTGCCCCCAAAATTCACTCCCACGAATAGGCAAAGATAGCAAAAGAGTCTTGTTGCCAGAGACAGTGAGGGGTGGTGTTTGTACATACAGTGCCTCCAGTAACACACAAATTTGTTGGGGGCTGCCAGTCACACACCCATTAACCTGTGACACAGGGCAGGTCCTGCTGGGATTGGGCTTTCTGAGGACTGACCAGGCAACAAGGATTGGGACAACAAAAGCCGCTTATGGATGGGCCTGATGAGAGCAAAAACCACCTGGTGGCGACTGAACAGGCCCCAGAGACAAAAACTCCTTATCTGAGGAATTTAGAAGGGAGCAAGGACCACCTGTCGACCATCAAACAGGCCCTCCGAGGCAAAACTCCTTATCTGGGGAAAATTAGAAGTAACTAAACTTCCCTATTACCTAAAGCAGGCATCTGCTTCCAGATTTCTTTCCCCCAGAACATTTATAAGTAACTAGAATTTCTATACGTCTCCAGAATGCCATGCCAAAACTCATCGTACAACCCTTGCTGACATTAAGGCACCAAAATTACTATAAATGTAATCATTTATCATGACCTACATGGCTAATATGGTCCCAATTATTGTTAAGCCCCCACTTTAAGGCCTATAAATGCCCTTAAGGAGAAATCCACCAGGCGTACTCAGTCCTCTTGCCGAGGCACCCCACTGCACTCTTCTGCAGCATTCTAATAAACTTTCTTTCTTTTTTTTTTTTTTTTGAGATGGAGTTTCACTCTTGTTGCCCAGGCTGCAGTGCAATGGTATGATCTCAGCTCACCGCAACCTCCATCTCCCAGGTTCAAGCGATTCTCCTGCCTCAGCCTCCCAAATAGCTGGGATTACAGGCTCCTACCACCATGTCCGGCTAATTTTTTGTATTTTTAGTAGAGACGGGGTTTGGTCATGTTGGCCAGGCTGGTCTTGAACTCCTGACCTCAGGTGATCCACCTGCCTCCGCATCCAAAGTGCTGGGATTACAGGCGTGAGCCACCACACCCAGTAAACTTTCTTTTTTCTTTTTTTGAGACAGAGTCTTGCTCTGTCTCAGCTTACTGCAACCTCCACCTCTTGGGTTCAAACAATTCTCCTGCCTCAGCCTTCCAAGTAGCTGGGATTACAGGCAAGCACCACCACACCTGGCTAACTTTTATACTTTCAGTAGAGACAGGGTTTCTCCATGTTAGCCAGGATGGTCTCAGACTCCTGACCTTAGGTGATCCACCCGCCCTGGACTCCCAAAGTGCTGAGAGTACAAGCATGAGCCACTAAGCCCTGCCAAACTTTCCTTTTTCAAACCTATTGTCGGTAAACTCTTTTCACCAACCCACAAGTCGACCACCAGTCCCCAGTGCCGGGGCTCTGACATCTCGCCTGGCAGGAACTTCTTAAGACAAACTGAGAGCCTGACACATTCAGAACAAAAACGGTGCTGCTTAAAATCTTACATGTCTGGGGTTCCCAACCGTTTTCAGACTGACCACAAAATGTGACCTGCAAGACACTACCTCTGATTGGCAGAGGCCGAGAGTGCCCCTGAGGTAGGAGGCGGGACTTAGACAGTTGACCAGTTTGAGGATTGGCTAAAACAGGGTTGGGGCAAAAGCAGCTTTCAGTCAGATACGCCCACCACTGTGCCATGTCGGTTTACCATTGCCATGGCAACACCCAGGAGTTGCCACCCCTTTCCATGGCAATGACCCAATGATGACTACTCCTTCCCTAGAAACTTCTGCATAAACCATCCTTTAATCTGCATGCAATCAAAAGTGCATATAAGTGTGACTGCAAAACTGCCCTGAGCTGCTCCTCTCTGCCTACGGGTAGCCCTGCTCTGCAGGAGCAGTCACAGAGCTGTCACACCACCTGTTCAATGACGCTGTTTTCTTCTACCTCTGGCTTGCCTTTGAATTCTTTCCTGGGCAAAGCCAAAACCCTCACTGGCTAAGCTCCACTTTGGGGTTTGCCTGCCCTGCATCCCTCCCACTTGGTCACAACTCAAGCTTTCAAGGACATAAAAAGAGAGGAGAATCTCATCCAGTTTCCATCTCAGGGGCCCACAGCAAAGTTGTCTGACTAGACACATCTGATCAGAGCTGCAAAGCTGACTAGCCCGCAGGGCAGCCCCACCCGGGGCTTACAGGGCTTTTCGGCCTGTGTTCCTCCCCACGATACCCCTCTTTATGACAGAACGACACAGAAAGACAAGAATGAAAGATGACGATTTCTGGGGAAAATGCAATCAAACAGTATGAATGCAACACTAATCACATGAATACGTATCTCTCATTAAGACTCTGAAGAGGAAAGCAAGGTAAACAGTGATTGTTACCGTCGGCTTGACAAGATTCCACAGACAGGCCAGGAGCCTGGCTGCTAAGACTTTCTTATCCTTCTTTCTGCCAGCTTGTCGGGTCCTGGGTTCCCTCGACAAAGGATCCCAGGAGGGTGACTTTAATTATCCTACCGACTACACCAAAACTGTAGGAGCCTAGACAAAAACCCTCTGCACTGTGAGTTCACAGAAAATCAACTGACAAAAGCCAGGTTACTAAGAGAAAAGGCATACAGATTTATTCATGCGCCAGGGAGAACCAGGGTGATGATCCCTACCTCCCAATGGGGTTCGGAAGCTTACATACCATCCTGAGGTTACAGAAAGAACAGGGGCTCAAAGCATGGCCATAAACAGTTTATGGTGGAAAATCAGGTGACAGTGGCAAGACCGGTTATGGGAGGGAGAGGAGAGGAGGCCTGGCTAGCTAAGGTGGCCTTGTGCTACAGATAAACCTCACAGGTAGCAGCCCTGAGAGAATAGATGGTGAATGTTCCCTTTAAAGGCGTCAGACTCTGTTACTCTTCCCAGATCAGGCAAGGGAAGGCCTCAGAGAAGGCCTGGCTGCATCAGTGTAGATTCTCTCCACAAATGCAAATCTCCCCCACAAAAGACAGCTTTTCAGCTATTCTTCTATTTCCAGTCCTTCCCAGTAACTGTTTGAGCCACGTCAAGGAAATATATTTGGAGGTGACATATTTTGTTTTCCTTCAAGATCAAAAAAGTTAAGTCCAAGGCTGTCCAACAAGGGAGCGAGGACCCAATCATGTTGTCCTCAGATAAGTTTTTCCCCAGCAACATAACCCTGCAACAGGCCAGACTGGACCCCAGACACGCATTCCACACCATACCATGGCCTCCACCACCCAAACCACAGACACACCCTACCTTAAACACCAGACACACACACACCTCAACTACCGCAAACACACATACGCCACACCTCTAACACCACTTACAGCCCCCCAACACCACACACCCCTCAAACACCACACACACCCCCCCCACACACACCTCAAACATCACACACACCCCTCAAACACCACACATACAACCTTAAACACCACACACACCCCACACACACCTCAAAAACCACACACACAACCTCAAACACCACACACATCTCAACCCCACACACACACAGCCCACACACACCTCAAACACCACACAAACCTCAAACATCACACACACCTCGACCACATGCACACATATATCCCTCAACCACCACACATACACCACAAACACACCCCACACCTCTAACAGCACACACACACCCCCAACACCACACACCCCTCAAACACCACACACAAACCTCAAACATCGCACGCACACCTCAACCACATGCACACACATATCCCTCAAACACCACATACACCTCAAACACACACACCTTAAACACCACACACCTCAACCACACACACACACACACCCCCTCACACACCAGACACACACACACACACCTCTCAAACACTGCACACACCACCTCAATCACACACACACGCACACATGCCTGAAACACCACACATACATAACTCAACACACACTCCCCACACACACCTCAAACACCACACACCACCTCAATCACACACACATGCACACACACCTGAAACACCACACACAGACCTCAAATACCACACACAGCTCAAACACACACCCCTCAAACAGCACACACACCCCCACACCACCTCAAACACTACACACACACACCACACACACAGTCCCCCGCACCCACACCACAGCTCAGACACACGTACGCAGGAGAAAGGGTGTCAAAGCTTTTGCTAGTCGTGAAGAAAAAGCCAGCAGTCCATGGGGCTGCACGGTTTCCCCTGCGATTTGCTCATTCACCAGGCGCCCATAACGCTCCGTGCTCAGGTCTCTTAAAGGAGGGCCCAAGTCTCCCAGTACCCGGAGGTCTGGGGGCGCACGAGCCGCTCCTCCTCTGCAGAAGCTCCAGACTGAAAGGGCCCCGGACACTAAGCAGCGCCGAGCCCCGCGCGCAGCCCGGGACGCCTCAACCGGATCCGACCGTGCAGAAGAAGCTCCCAGAGCCCGGTTCACCACCGCAGTCAACAGCCTCAGGGTGCAAACTGCGGTCTGGGAGCGAGCACGCGCAGCCACGCCCCGCCCCTGCCCGAGCCCCTGGCCCCGCCCCTGCCCGGGCCCCTGGCCCCGCCCCTGCCCGAGCCCCTGGCCCCGCCCCTGCCCGGGCCCCTGGCCCCGCCCCTAGCCCGCCCCTGGCCCCGCCTCGCGACGGTCACAGGTCACGGGCGGTGCCGAGGCGGAAGCGCCCGCAGCCCCGCATCGAATCCTCCCGGGCTCCGCCCAGCGCCTTCCCCCGGCCCCGACTCCGCCGGTCAGCGTCAAGTGACTTATGCCCCCGACCCTGAGCCCGGACCGCGAGGCGAAGAGGATCAGATCTCCGCTCGAGAATCTGAAGGCGCCCTCGTCCTGGAGGAGTTCCGTCCCAGCCCACGGTCTCCCGGCACTGTCGGGCCCCGGTCCTCTGGAGCTTCAGGAGGCGGCCGTCAGGGTCGGGGAACGTTTGGGTCTGGGGTCTCAGGGGAGGGCGGCGCCTGGGGCTGTGGTCTCGGAAAGAGCCTGCTGGAGCCAAGTGTCCCTGCCTCTCTTGGGACAGACCCCTCGATCCCGTGTTCATGGGAGCACCGCGGTCCCTCCTCCTGGCCCTGGCTGCTGGCCTGGCCGTCGCCCGCCCGCCCAATATCGTGCTGATCTTTGCTGACGACCTCGGCTATGGGGACCTGGGCTGCTATGGGCACCCCAGCTCTACCACCCCCAACCTGGACCAGCTGGCAGCAGGGGGGCTGCGGCTCACAGACTTCTACGTGCCTGTGTCTCTGTGCACACCCTCTCGGTAAGGAGGCGGAAGCGCCTCTTCCCGTCCATTGCTTTCCTCCCAATGGATTGCAGGAGGGCGGGAAAAACGTGTCTCTTTCTCCAGGGAAGGCCACATTTCTGCCTGCCTCACGGACTCTGTGACTTGTCCTGCAGGGCCGCCCTCCTGACCGGCCGGCTCCCAGTTCGGATGGGCATGTACCCTGGCGTCCTGGAGCCCAGCTCCCGGGGGGGCCTGCCCCTGGAGGAGGTGACCCTGGCCGAGGTCCTGGCTGCCCGAGGCTACCTCACAGGAATGGCCGGCAAGTGGCACCTTGGGGTGGGCTCTGAGGGGGCCTTCCTGCCCCCCCATCAGGGCTTCCATCGATTTCTAGGCATCCCATACTCCCATGACCAGGTAGGAGCCACCGGGGCCCTCAGCCACCCTCCCACCTCCCAAAGTCCCCCAGCCCTTGATGTTCCTGCAGCCCTGTCTGCCACCCCAGCCCTCACTAGAGCTGCCCGCCTCAGGGCCCCTGCTGGAACCTGACCTGCTTCCCACCGGCCACACCCTGCGACGGTGGCTGTGACCAGGGCCTGGTCCCCATCCCACTGTTGGCCAACCTGTCCGTGGAGGCGCAGCCCCCCTGGCTGCCCAGATTAGAGGCCCGCTATGTGGCTTTCGCCCGTGACCTCATGGCCGACGCCCAGCGCCAGGATCGCCCCTTCTTCCTGTACTACGCCTCTCACGTAAGTGATCTTGGCCCCACCCCTGACTACCCGTGACCCCTACCCAGTGCTAACTCCAGTCTTTGCCCCCAGCACACGCACTACCCTCAGTTCAGTGGGCAGAACTTTGCAGAGCGTTCAGGCCGCGGGCCATTTGGGGACTCCCTGATGGAGCTGGATGCAGCTGTGGGGACCCTGATGACAGCCATAAGGGACCTGGGGCTGCTTGAAGAGACGCTGGTCATCTTCACTGCAGACAATGGGTATGCTAGCAGGGTAGCAGGGTGCTCCCGCCCTGTCACAGACCAGGGCCCTGGGGGCCTTGCAGTTCAGCTGCTGGCCAAGAACATAGTGGGTGAGGGGGTGTCAGGAGATGCTGGCCACGTTGCAGGGACCCAAGGTGTAATTAGGAGACACAGGTGCACAGAGAACTGGTCATGGTAGGCCTGGAAGATGCCAGGCTCATGCTGGGTACCTCCAGGCAAGCTTTGTGTCTTAAAGGTGTGGGGCCACTGGTCACCCTCGGTGGCTCAGAGGCCGTGGCTTCATGGCTTATGAGCTCCTCCTGTGTCCCAGACCTGAGACCATGCGTATGTCCCGAGGCGGCTGCTCTGGCCTCCTGCGGTGTGGAAAGGGAACCACCTACGAGGGCGGTGTCCGAGAGCCTGCCTTGGCCTTCTGGCCAGGTCACATCGCTCCTGGTCAGTCCGCAGGCCCTCTCCTTGGGAACTCTGGCCCCACCACCCCAACCCTGGTGGCGAACTGAGTGACTACACAGCCTCTTGCCCCCAGGAGTGACCCATGAGCTGGCCAGCTCCCTGGACCTGCTGCCCACCCTGGCAGCCCTGGCTGGGGCCCCACTGCCCAATGTCACCTTGGATGGCTTTGACCTCAGCCCCCTGCTGCTGGGCACAGGCAAGGTAGGGCTGGTGACCCCTGATCCCAGCTCCTTGGCCCCTGTCCTGGCCCCTCCCCTGGGGTGAGTGTGGGCAGTGCCTGAAAGTCTGTGCCTCAGGGCCTCCTGCATTTAGTGGCATCCAAGTGGCGCCACCTCTCAGGTTCCTGGGGTGGGCTAGAAGCAGTGCACGTCCAGGGCCTCACACCAGGGCTGGCAGCCCCGGGTATGTGCAGTGCTCGGGGCCTGTCCCGCCCCGTGACCCCTGACTCTGCCCCCAGAGCCCTCGGCAGTCTCTCTTCTTCTACCCGCCCTACCCAGACGAGGTCCGTGGGGTTTTTGCTGTACGGAGTGGAAAGTACAAGGCTCACTTCTTCACCGAGGGTAAAGCCTCCCCGTGAATCCCTCCACCTGACCTGCTGACCCCTCCCCGGAGCCCCAGATCCCTGGCCCCTCCTTTCGCTCTTGCCCCATGCACAGAATTGGCCCCCTCCCCAGGCTCTGCCCACAGCGACACCACTGCAGACCCTGCCTGCCACGCCTCCAGCTCTCTGACTGCTCATGAGCCCCCGCTGCTCTACGACCTTTCCGAGGACCCTGGTGAGAACTACAACCTGCTGGGAGGTGTGGCCGGGGCCACCCCAGAGGTGCTACAAGCCCTGAAACAGCTTCAGCTGCTCAAGGCCCAGTTAGATGCGGCTGTGACCTTCGGCCCCAGCCAGATGGCCCAGGGCGAGGACCCCGCCCTGCAGATCTGCTGCCGTCCTGGCTGTACCCCGCACCCAGCCTGCTGCCATTGCCCAGATCCCCATGCCTGAGGGCCCCTCGGCCTGCCTGGGCATGTGAGGGCTCATCACTGTGAGCCTGTGGCGGAGGCACAGGTGTCTGGAGGGAGTTTGTACCTGATAACGTAATAACACCAGTTGAGACTTGCAGGCGTGACGGTTCGTCGAATCCTGTGGTAATGCTGTGTGCCAGTGCCGGTCCCCTGTGATACAAATGAGGAAACTGAGGTGCAGAGAGATTCAGGACTTGTCTAAGACCACCCAGCCAGAAACAGGTTGGGCTGGGATTTGAATCCTGGTGTCTTGGCTCTGGAAGCTGCCCTGGCACCTTGGTGATCTGCATGGATCAGTGTACGCAGGCACACATCAGCCGTGAGGACGTGGGCACATCCGTTCACAGGAGCAGCGCCACGTGCCTTTAAGTGCCAGGAACGGGGCGGGAGGGTGTGAGGGCTCAGTGGCCAGAAGACTCAGAAGATGCAAAGTGCCTGAGAGACAGGATTTTCCCCAAGAAGAAGCATTCTTAGAGGCACAGGCACTGGACCTCCTTGGTTCTTATCAGAAACCTGTCTGAAGCCAAGTGATGAGTTGCACATTCCAGATGGGGATAAGGGGCCTGGAGCCCCTGTGGGCTCCTAGGAAGGCACAGCAGCAGCCCCTGAGACAGCCCTCCTGGGGCCCCTCCACCCTCCCAGGCCTCTGTATTTTACCTGTGCCCACACTTCTGTCTCCTGCCTTCACCTTTTGACCCACTAGAAAGATTCTCCACCCAGCAGACAAAGGGATCTCTTAAAAACATCTGTCGGCTGGGCGCAGTGGCTCAAGCCTGCAATCCCAGCACTTTGGGAGGCCGAGGGGGGGTGGGTCTGTTATGCCCAGTCCGTTTATTCCCCGAAGAAGACCACCAGAGTCCAGAGTCGAAGCTAAGCAGCAAGGATCTTTATTACAGGTTCGAACCTGGAACTCTCACTCACTCTCGAAATGAGAGGGTCAAGAGAGAGAGTTCCCCCACAGATCATTAAACAATGTTATATAGTCTAAGAAGAGTGGTCATAGAATCATTATACAGATCAGATGTATGATTGGCTGGTGTTTGAACAAGGCGATTTGGCTAACTAGGATTGGTTCCCGCCATTTCTGGTATCTCAGTTCAACCCTTGAGACGGAAGAGCAGTTTCTGCACAAAGGCAGTTAATTATATTGCATCAGGTTGCACAACTGGTTTATGGCAGCATGAGTTTATCTTACTTAAACATGTCTTGTGACCTAGCCCTAGGAAGAAAAACAGGTACTTACAGAACTTTCAAAAATTCAAAACCTCTGGTACGTGCAGAGATAAGAAAGCAGAACAAAGGGTGTAGCAATAGGGAGCAAGGAGGGTGGGTATGTCTTTGTGTTTTTGTGTCCTTTCATTTGTCCTTTCAGGTCACCTGAGGTCGGGAGTTCAAGACCAGCCTGACCCACATGGAGAAACCCCATCTCTACTAAAAACATAAAATTAGCCAGGTGTGGTGGTGCAGCCCTGTAATCTCAGCTACTCAGGAGGCTGAGGCAGGAGAATCACTTGAACCTGGGAGGCGGTGGTTGCGGTGAGCTGAGATCACACCATTGCACTCCAGCCTGGGCAACAAGAGAAAAACTCTGTCTCAAAAAAAAAATATCTGTTAGGCTGGACACGGTGGTTCACTCCTGTAATCCCAGTGCTTTGGGAGGCTAAGGTGAGAGGATCACTTGAGGCCAGGAATTCAGAGCAGCTTGGGCAACATAGTGAGACCCCCAGCTCTAAAGCAGTATTTGTTTTTGTTTTTTGAGATGGAGTCTTGCTCTATCGCCCAGGCTGGAGTGCAGTGGTGCGATCTCCACTCACTGCAACCTCTGCCTCCCAGATTCCAGTGATTCTCCTGCCTCAGCCTCCCTAGTAGCTGGAACTACAGGTGCGTGCCGCCATGCCCAGCTAATTTTTTTTTTATTATTTAGTAGAGACGAGATTTCACCATGTTGGCCAGGCTGGTCTAAAACTCCTGACCTCAGGTGATCCACCCGCCTCAGCCTCCCAAAGCGCTGGGATTACAGGCATGAGCCACCACGCCTGTCCAACAATATTTGTTTTAATTAGCCAGGCGTGGTGGCATTTGTCCTAGCAATTTGGGAGGCTGAGGTGGGAGGATCACTTGAGCCCAGTAGGTCGAGGCTGTAGTGAGCTATAATTGTACCACTGCACTCCAGCCTTGGGGACAGAGTGAGACCCTGTCTGTAAATAAACAAGTAAAACAGGCCAGGCTTGAGAATCTATTCCTGCTCAAAAATCCACAGGCTTCTCGGAAGAAAATCCAAACCCCCTATAGTGACCTAATTTGCCCTTGAGACCTCCACCCACGCCCCCTTCTCCTCAGTCTTAGCAGGGTGGCCTGGCTGTTCCTTCCAACAGCAATGCTCTGCCTCCATTGTTGGCCTCCTCTGCAGGGAGGGACCATCTGAGCACCTGCCCGTGTCTGTGCAGCATGGCACACGGATGCCAGGCTCACATGCATGCCCAGGTGGCCAGTCACACACCAGGTGTGCTCCCTCAGTGTTGACCAAGTGAGAGGAGCACGCCCTCCGGGTGTTCAGACACCTCCCCGTGGCAAACGCTGTTCATTGCCACCAGACAGCCACCTCCTTCCTCATGGGCTCCCATTTTCAGTGCTGGGCAAAGGTCCCTTGATCTGGGAGTTGCAGCCTCTTTCTCTTCAAGGAGGGCGGTGACCAGCCTGAGCCAGTCGATCCAGTGATTGGTTCAGGAGCAGCCTGTGACAGGAGTCTTGGTAGCGAATGACTGGGGCAGCCCTGGGGGTGAGGAGCTTGTGCAGCAGTCACAGGCCCCGACTGGACGCTGGGCAGCTGCTAACCTGGTGTCTCCAGCTGTCTACCTGGAGAGCTCCAAGCTCTAATGCTAGGAGAAAAGAAACCCTGCCTGTTGAAGCCACTGCCAGTGAGGGTTCTGTTATTTGCAGCCGAAAGCCTTGCTGGAGTGTGGCCTCTGAATGGTTTGTGTGGCGGGCACGTGTGCCCGTGTGAGCCTGTGGTGTCAGACAGTGTGCTGAGGACCCACCGTGCAGCTGTTTCAACCCTTTTCATCTGGTTTGAGGGCTGCACTGACCACACCCCAAATCCTGCTGTGTTTGGAAGCACCCCCATAAGGTGGTGGTTTCCTTGGGGTGCCCAGCAGCCCCTGAAGCTGGCACACGAAGGGCCCTCATGCACTTGTGGTCTGGAGGTGTTGGCCCCAGGTGGCGACGTAAAAAGTAAAGTAGAGGTTCCTCTTCAGACTTTCCTCCCTGTCTAGGAGTAAATGGTAACTTCTCTTAAAAGCAAAATTTATTCAAAGACCTGTACTAACATTCTTAAATCACTGCTGTAATAAAGAAATCAATGTACTTTGTGTTCTTAGCTCCCACAATGTAGCCTAATTATTTGCCCTGGAGGCTTATACTGGTCCAAGCAAGCGTTAGGCCATAGCCTGTTCCCCTTCCTTATTTGAAGGTGTTTTTACCTTTATCAGCATTCTTCAAGTTACTTCCTCCTTCCTTTGTTCTCCTCTTTGCCTCTTTTAAGAAGCTCTAAGTTGCTAGCCAATCGGGACAAATACAGAACGTGAGGTCCCGTTCCAACCAATGGAAACCGGACACAGCAGTAGGGGGGACACGTCAGGTTATAAATGACCCTGTCTCCTTCGTTCGGTGTTCTCTCGTGGCAGAACTGCTGGCGAGTGTGCCCTTTCTGCAGAAAGTATAAAAATGGCCTTCTGAGAAAATTAATGTTCAAGTGCTGTTTCTTTACGGCACCAAGGAACAAGCATTTCAAACAGTGCTGTGGTTCAAGGGGAAGGCAGAGAGGAACTGAACTGGAGGCATGATTCCAGTATCACATGGGAAGACCAAACCCTCTAGCAAGAACTAGATGAATACTAACACCCAAGCACAGTCTTCAGGCACCTCCTCCAGCTCCGCTGCTCCACTTCCTCTCACTTGGGTAATGTGCATAACTGAGTTAATCCCACCGTGTTTATGCATCAGCACCGTGCAGTGCTGGACACGGAGTTGTCAGAGGAGACCCACCCTGCACTCACCAGACTTACAGTCCAGCAAAGGAGATGAACTTAATCCCGGGATGTCAGATGCACCTGAGATTTCAGTGTGATAGAAGTCACTGCCTCTGGTAGGGTGGGGTATGTGGCATTGCCTGACCAGGGACACCAGAGAACCTGTGGGTGCTACAAATGTTCCAAATCTTAAGGGGTCATAACATGATGCATGCATATGTATAAAGCAATCAACCCACACACGTAAGATGTGCATACTTTATGACGTCATTGCGTATTTTCTATTTCAGTAACAATCTGATAAATGCTACAAAGGAAGGGTACCTGGTCTTACAAGAACATAGCCAAGAGGTGGGGGTGGAAGGATAAATGAGCCAGTCAGGAATGCCTCCCATTGAGCTCTGAGGAGGGTGTTCAAATGCACTCTGCACCCAAGGTTGGAAAGAGAAGCAGATGTTCCCATTCCCCCATTCGGCTTTTGGTTTTGCTCTGATTTGTGTGTGCTCAGAAATGCTTGTTTTTCATCAGTTAGCTGTTTTAGCTGGATGCACCCTCCTCACACAGGCATGTGCACGTATGCGTATGTGCATTGTATGCATACAGAAATACGCACACATGCACACTCACATTCATGTGCACGCAGGCACATGCATACACATGCATCCGGGGATGCATGCCCCCCAGAGATGTATGCACGTGAACACACAAGGACTCACACATGTGCACACAAGCATGCATATACGTGCATATTTGCACTGACATACACACTGTTACTGTGGCCCCAAATGCCACAATTCCCTGCGCTTGCCTTTCTTCACAGCTACAGAACAGCCCCTTCCTGTGAGCCTAAGAGAATCCATTCACCAGGCTGGCAGCCATCCATTCCCACAGAGCAGCTTCCTCAGGGAGCTCCGTGTCCTCTCGAAGGGGCTAAGTGTGTTTTGAAATGGGCAGAACAAACAAACAAGTTGATTCTGTGGTTTCCCCTCAGGTGCGTTAGGAAGGAAGAGGGGATATCCGGAGCCCAAGTGATCGCATGAGTGACAGGGTGAGAGGCGGCTCCTGCGGGGAAACTCTTCTCCCCTCCCCTCCCTGGGGCCCCTCCTTGCCCGTGTGCTTGTCTGTCCCCCAAGTGGCCAGAAGGGGGAGCCCAGGGAACGTTTCGATGGAACAATGTTTAAATTCACCTCTGAATTTTTTTTTTTTCTTTTTTGGGACGGAGTCTTGCTCTGTCTGTCGCCCAGGCTGGAGTGCAATGGCGCAATCTCAGCTCACTGCAACCTCCGCATCCCCGGTTCAAGCGATTCTCCTGCCTCAGCCTCCCAAGTAGCTGGGGTTACAGGCATGCGCCACCATGCCGGGCTAATTTTGTATTTTTTAGTAGAGACGGGGTTTCTCCATGTTGGTCAGGCTGGTCTCGAACTCCCAACTTTAGGTGATCTGCCCACCTTGGCCTCTCAAAGTGCTGGGATTACAGGCGTGAGCCACTGTGCCCAGCACCTCTGAATATTTTTAATTACAAAAATAATGCATACTCATTAGAGAAACTCAAGTCATGGCCAGTCATCTCAGTCCCAGGTAGCCAATGCTATCAGTCTGGGGCTCGGGGGGCGGGCACACGCCACATTGTTCTCCACATTCATGCAAATTATGTATGGCCCCAGGTGTTGATTCAACTCTAACCTCATGCCCTGCTGCACCCTGGACACTGCCTCTCAGCTGGCTGATGTGTCCCCTCCCCTTTGTAACCCTGAGCCTGGTGCAGGGGGGGTCAGTAGTAATGAAGGGGGGAGTGCATTTATTTATGCCCCCTCCAGCCTCCTTGGCTCCTTTGTGTGAAGGACAAGAGCCTTCCTTGCGGATGCAGCACATGGTGAAATCCGGTCTCTACTAGAATACAAAAAATGGGCCGGGTGGTGCCTGTAATCCCAGCTACTCAGGAGGCTAAAATAGCAGAATCACTTGAACCCTGGAGGCGGACATTGCAGTGAGCTGAGATTGTGCCACTGCACTCCAGCCTGGGCGACAGAGCAAGACTCAGTCTCAAAAAGAAAAAAAAAAAAAAGAATAAAGAAAGAAAGTGTGGCAGCCTTATTGGTGATATGGAGAAAATTTAAGTGGTCTGCATGGAAGATCAAACCAGCGAAGACCTTTCCTTAACCCAAGTCTACTCCAGAGCGAGGCTCTCCTTCTCTCTGATTCTGTGAAAGCTGGGAGAGACGAGGAAGCTGCAGAAGAAAAGCTGGAAGGTAGCACAGGTTGGTTCATATGGTTTGAGGAAAGAAGCCGTCTCCACAATGTGAAAGTACAAGGTGAGGCAGCAGGTACTGATGAAGAAGCTGCAGCAAGTTCTCCAGAAGATCCAGCTGAGGTTAGTGATGAGGGCGGCTATAGTAAACAATAGATTTTCAATGTACACAATTTTTTTTTTTTTTTTTTTGAGACAGAGTTTCGCTCTGTCGGCCCAGGCTGGAGTGCAGTGGCACAATCTTGGCTCACCACAACCTCTGCTCCTGGGTTCAAGCGATTCTCCTGTCTCAACCTCCCGAGTAGCTGGGATTACAGGCATGCGCCACTGCGCCCGGCACCATCTATGACTTTCAGAGCTAGAGAGAAGTCAATGCCTGATTTTAAAGCTTCAAAGGACAGGCTGACTCTCTTGTTAGGGGCTAATGCAGCTGGTGGCTTTAAGTTGAATGCTCATTTACCATTTGGAAAATCCCCCTTAAGAAAGATGCTAGGCTGGGCACGGTGGCTCACACCTGTAATCCCAGCACTTTGGGAGGCCGAGGCAGGCAGATCGCCTGAGGTCAGGAGCTCGAGATGAGCCTGGCCAACATGGAGAAACCCCATCTTTACTAAAAATACAAAATTTGCCAGGCATGGTGGTGTGTACCTGTAATCCCAGCTACTCGGGAGGCTGAGCCAGGGAGGATCGCTTGAACCCGGGAGGTGGAGGTTGCGGTGAGCCAAGATCGCGCCACTGCACTCCAGCCTGGGCAACGAGAGCGAAACTCTGTCTCAAAATAAAAAAAAAAAAAAGAAAAGAAAGGAAAGATGCTAAATCCACTCTGCCTGTGCACTATAAATGGAACAGCAAAGCCTAGAAGACAGTACATCTGTTTATGGCCTGATTTAATGAATACTTTAAGCACACTGTTGAGACCTACTGCTCGGAAAGAAAATATTCCTTTCAAAATATTGCTGCTCGTTGACAATGTTCGTGTCACCCAAGGGCTCTGATGGAGATGTACACGGAGATCGATGTTGTTTTCATGCTGCTAACACAACATCCATTCTGCAGCCCATGGATCGAGGAGTCATTTCTACTTTCAAGTCATATCATTTAAGAAATATATTTCACGACCAGGCGCTGTGGCTCACACCTGTAATCCCAGCACTTTGGGAGGCCGAGGTGGGTGGATCGCCTGAGGTCAGGAGTTCGAGACTAGACTGGCCAACATGGTGAAACCCTGTCTCTACTAAAAACACAAAATAATTTAGCCAGGCAGGGTGGTGTGCACCTGTAATCCCAGCTACTTCGGAGGCTGAGGCAGGAGAATCGCTTGAACCTGGGAGGCAGAGAGATTGCAGTGAGCTGAGACCGTGCCACATTGCCCTCTAGTCTGGGCAACAAGAACAAAACTCTGTCTCAAAAAACAAAAAAACAAAAAAACCATTTCAGGCTGGGCGTGGTGGCACATGCCTGTAACCCCAGCACTTTGGGAGGCTGGGGCGGGCAGATGACCTGAGGTCAGGAGTTAGAGATCAGCCTGGCCAACATGGCAAAACACGGTCTTACTAAAAACCCAAAAATTAGCCAGGCGTAGTGGTAAGCACCTGTAATCCCAGCTATTTGGGAGGCTGAGGCAGGAGAATCACTT